GTGTGTATGTGTGCAGGAGGTTCGTTCACTTTGAACACCAGAAAACCCTTTTTCACTCTGAGGGTGACTGAGCACTGGCGCAGGTTGCCCAGGGAACTCGTGGAGTCTCCGTGCCTGGAGATACTCCAAAGCCATCTGGACGCCGTCCTGGACAACTGCCTGAGCAGGGGAGTTGGACCAGAGGATCTCCAGAGGTCCCTGATAACCTCAGCTCTTCTGTGAGACTGTGATTAATGACTTACTATAGAAAAGCAGGTCTCATGCTTCCACCCCCCCTTTTTCTTTTCTGATTAGATTTTTTTTTTTTTTTTACTACTCCCAAGGACATGTGCACACTCTTGTCTATTCCTTCCTCGAGGTTTTCCCATTCTCTAGGTTATCCTGAAATCCTGAACTTTTTGCCTTCAGCATCGGTCCCTTGGCTAGAGCTGCATTCTTGAATCATTACTGGAAGTGCATGACCAATGTAGCAATTAAATCCACACTCTGAAGACTGTCCCTGATGCAAATTTGCTGCGTTGGTTTTGAAGACACTGTACCCTGTCAGAGTTTCTCTAAGAAGTGAAGTTCTAAGTGTGGTTTGATCTTCAAAGGAGCCTTGAGTCACAGCAGTCCTTTTGCTCCATCTCTGACTTTCAGTTTTCTTGCAATACAGGAAAATTCACATGATAGGGGGAGAAAGCCATCTGCCGGATACTCCTATTTTAATTTAAGAATTTCAGAATAAATGTAAACTTTTAAAGGATGGTGCTGTTACATTTATTTTTACATTGACGCCATTGCTTTCACTGCTCTTCCCTTCTGCAGATAGCTAACATTTTTTTTTCAGATCTTTTTGCTAAATCAGTTTAAGTAGGCTGTAGTTTGTCCTTGAAATGATGAGGAAAGTGCCCAGATTTCCCACCAAATGTGCTTTATTGCTATAATGGGAAAAGTGCAATACAATAACCTATGGCTGTCCCTTCTTTTGGATCCTGGGGAACAGGATTCCTTGCAACAAATAAGTTATACCCTGAGACAAACCTACCTGTAAAGCTGTATTAGCAAAGTACAGTGCGTGATTGCAGCACATGTGAACGTTTTGTTCATCACTGTAATTTTTTAATGTGATGTCTGCCAGCAGCACTAATTAGTAACTTTTTGCTACAGTTTTTTGAATATGTGAACACAGCAGAAACTTGGTAATCTGCATACTCTAGCTTCTGTACCGAACTGACAAGACTCTTCTTGGCTTGAAATAGCGAGTTGTTAACATCATTAGCTTTCACGTTGGCATGTGTGGTGTGACTTGTCTGCACTACCTGTTTTACAAATTCATATTGTAGTAGGTTTGAGGAGAAAAATACATTTAAAACTATCTAAAGATATCTGTTAAAAGAGTAGTTCTCCTCACCCAGAGCTGTGGTTGCTGTCTGAGCTCCAGTCTTTTCCTTGGTGTTGCCATCAAGTTTAAGTTTTTGAGGTGTGCAGTGCTCATCTGTTTACCCTTCCAAGTTAGTCAGTTCTGCAGTAGCCCCAGCTGTCGAGTAGGACAGGAGGGAGTCTGGGTACAAGTACTGTTGGCCGCCACGTACACACAGCTTTCCATTCACATTTTGTATCTATGAACTGCTGTTTTATTTATTTCAGGTCCCTGTAACTGAACTCAAAGAGATCATGCCTCTTCCAGAAACCATGTTCTGTGCTCAGCAGATTAAAATCCCCCCTGAGCTACCTGATATTCTGAAGCAATTTACTAAAGCTGCTATTAGGACTCAACCTCATGATGTTTTGCAGTGGGCAGCTGCGTAAGTACGATGTTCACATAATGATGTAGTGCTGTGTGTATGGACCCACAAAATCTCACTGCTTCTGTTTATTGTACAGTGGAGCTGGCTGAGTATTAAAGCAACCTGTATATTGCATACATGCTTCTCTGTGTTAAGGCAGCATGTGAGCCTTTTAAAAGTAGACTTATTTTCTGTTTTGCTGAGGTTTAGGACTGGCATATTTCTGGAATACGTTGATATCCCTGCAGAAAAATGCATCTTAATATTTTTTTTGGTTAATTTTTCTATCCTGAAGACAAACCTTTTTTTTCGGTTGCTTTTTTTTTCCTCCTCTCGTGTGAGACTTAATTCTTGGAATTTAAAGGAAACTAGAAAATAACTTTCTAATTCTTAAGCTTCCTTAAATTTCTTTTTTTTTTTAACCTGTTTCCAGAATAAAATTAAAGGGTCTACTTAAATGTTACTGAAATAGGAAAAGAGCCTGAAAAGTTGCAACTTTTAGGTGATAGTCCACGTAATAGATCTCTCGCTGTAAAGTTGATTGAAGAGATTTAAATGTTTCTTCTTTAACTTTTTTCTTTTACCTCAACTGCTTGCTATCATTTCTTCCTGTCCTACAGTTTGTGTGAACAAGCTCTTGGAAGGGTATCTGTGAGATGTTCTCAGTTGGGGGGATTGAAATACGGCTGTACTGTGTACATGAGGGAGGGGAGGCTGTTAACTAAGCCATGCTGGAGTCTAGCTTGTCCATTAAGAAGAAAAACCCCAAAGCTGAATTGCTACCGCTGCAGTGTTGGAGAAAGGTAGTGGGCACATCCTAAAATAGCATGATGTTTCTTAGGAACATGATGGAGGTGGGGTGAGGCAGACCTCCCGGCGATTGGTGTGCAGGGAGCTTGCCCCTAACTGAGCAGTCAGAAGCAGTAGCCACCAGGTAGCTTGAACCTGCTGGGACCTGGGGCTGGCAAGAGCAGGGGCAACATGAAAACTGCGTAGCCACACCACCAGCCAGACCCCCGCCTCTGCTTAAAGACTGCATCAGCTCAGTCGGAGGAGCCCCCGCCAATGATAGGTGGCTGCTGCTGATCACAGAATCACACAATTGTCTAGGCTGGAAAAGACCTTGAAGAACATCCAGTCCAACCATCAACTCAACATTGACAGTTCCCAACTACACCACATCCCTCAGCGCTATGTCGACCCGACTCTTAAACACCTCCAGGGATGGGGACTCCACCACCTCCCTGGGCAGCCCATTCCAATGCCTAACAACCCCTTCTGTAAAGAAATGCTTCCTAATATCTAGTCTAAACCTCCCCTGGCACAACTTGAGGCTTGACATGCTTGAGTAATTCAATGTCCTTCTTTCTGGAATATGCTCTGGTGTGAGAGCACCTTGGGCTGAGCATGGTCTGGACCTGGGAACCATGCCAAGCAGAGCAAGCCTGAAGTTTCACACTGCTGACGGTGTTGTAGTGCTTGTCCCTGTGAATAACCAGATGGGAAAAGGATCTGGCTGAAAAATAGCCCAGGCATTATACATACATATATACTGTGCATCTATTTCTGTACAGTCATGCTACTTCAGTTCTGCAGTGCTGCTTGCTGTGCATTTTGGCAAGTGTTTGCACAGCATGGGATAGCCTGGGCATGGACATGGGTGCCCAGGGCAGATGAGGGAGGACAAATGGAGAAACCCTTAAGTTAGTCCTGCTATCGACTGAATGAAAACAAAGGGTTGTTTTTTTTTCTTTTCATGGTTTGGAATTGCTGACCAGTTATGGCAGAGGTGGTTGCTCTTAAGGTGATAGTAGCCTTATAAATTAAAAGGATGTGCATCTAATTCCCTTTCTTCTCCAGTTGTAAATTTTACTTTGGAGTGGACAGAAATAGCAGAAATGCTGATGAGAGAGCTGCAGTGCAAATAGCCAGTTGTGCTTTTCAGGTAGGGTGTGAGGGGAATGTTAAACAAATCATCCCTAAGGTGCTTATCAGTCAAATGGGAAAAGCCTGCACTTTGATTTGAAAGCCCACTCTGATGCTGATAAATCACGCCTCCTTTGCCAAGAAAGTTTGAGTATATCATGCACAAAGTTAAATGCCTTAAGAATTATTAGAATGTTGTAAAAAGGAGAGTGTACTGTCTAAAGATTGTGGTTTCCACTAAAAAGAAAGGTGATATCTGGGCACGGGGAGATGGGAGTTGCATGGCGGGGGGGG